CCCGGCGTGCGCACAATGCCGAGCAGCAGACTGCGGGCACATGGCTGGGTCCCATTCAGGCTCATCAGCATAGTCTAGCTGGCTGTTTTGTTGCTAGTCTGCTTACGGGGTGGCTTAGGAGCGTCTTGCCGGTGGAGTAACAAGGAGTTTTTTTTTTGGCCACAAAAGTTTTGTGGCAAGGGCTCATGGGAAAATCATTTGCATACATCTTGTTACAAAGGCTGACTACTTCCTGGCTTAGACAAAGTGTTGCCTGATAAACAGACTTAACACACAAATGTCTGTCTGGAATAAACAACAGCAAGCTTTGATTTACATTTCCATTATCAAAGATAATCTCTTTCCCAGTGTACAGGAATTAAGACTCCTTGCCCGATAGAAACCAGGCTGCCATGGTGGGGTCTCACCACCGCCAACCCATGTGTGTCAGCCAGAGGGACGCGGTGCTGTCCGGGCACAATGGGCCCGGCGAGCTGTGCGTGTGACGGTGCGGCGTGTGACAACGGGGTGCTTTGAACTCCCTGCAAAAGTTGGCTTGAAAGCAATGGCTGGAGCTCAACGGAGAGCCAGGCCTTCCTGAAGTGAAATAGTAGTAGCCACCGAAATAGCCATAAATAAGAACTGCGGCATATACGGAGAGGTGCATGCGTGTTTACATTATAATGTATAATGAAGGGAAAGTGAGTGTAAAAAGCCTCGGTCCTATTGCTGGTTTCTGTTTGTAAATCCCTTAAGCTCGCCACGTAAGGTTGTATATAAAGGAACATGATTTAGATTTTTATTAAACATATATAAATCTTTGGTGGAATCCGTGCCCAAAACTATAGATGAAAAATTTATTGCATGAGCACAACCCAGCCGTATAAATATTTTATTACAAATAGGACTCTGAAACTTGAATAAAATATGTCAGTTTATTATACAATATGTCGTGTCCCCCCCCCAAACATGCGGAAAATGGAAAATGTAACCCGGGCACTTCCCAAATGCAGGCTGCAGGATGGGCGCAGCTCTCGGCATCACCGCCGTTGGCTTTGGTGCGATCTGCCATCACCGCCCATTCATTCGGGCACAGCGCAGGATCGGCTCCTGCAGGTAGGAAGGGGTCCCCGATGGCACACCCAGGGCTGCTGTCTGGAAAGCACTCTGCACGTTTCCAAGAAAATGCCCTGTGTTCCCCAAGTCCCACTGCCAAGAAGTAGTTTAACGCTGGGAAGTGGCATAACGCTTGGTGCAGGATTTGTTTGCACCAACTCCTCACCGTCTGTGTCACGCTCTACAAAAAGAACAGCACTGTCGACACTGTTGACACTGGTCCTGTCCGCAGGCCAGACGTCCCTGGGAACGTTTCATTCTCTCCAAACAAAGCAGCGCTCCTCTCTGAGCCGCCAGCCCCGCAGCCAGGCTGAGCCTCGCTCCGCTGCAGCCGAATCCGACGTGGTGTGCAGGGCTTCCCCACAGCGGGGTCGGCGTCACCGCCCTGTGCACACGGGTAGCCTGGGAGCAGCCGGAGCAGAGCAGCAGGCAGAACAGGGCAGCCAGTGCTAGGACACCAGCCCCTTTTTTTTCCTTTACCCGTAATCGTTCTTGCTTTGGGAGCAGAGAGTGGAATGTCTTTGACGTTGTTTTGATTGTTTCTTTCGATTGTTTCCCCGTGGTTGTGGTGACGCCAGGTCTCTGTCCGCTGTCCTGGGCTCACATGTCCCTGCTCATGCTGCCGCCTCCAGCACAGGGAGAGTTAAGAGTTCCAGCAACCAACTTTTCTTCAACCAAAAAAAAGACCCCAAATAAAACCCGTTGCGCTATTCAAGGCTAAGCTCCCTTAAATATCAAACTAGATTCCTTGGTGATTTTTTATTTTTATTTTTTAAATCAGAATCCTAATAGTGGTCCCTCACTATAATATTTCCAACTCCATCTGAAATCATTTAAATCCTCCCCTTAATAACATGCACTTTATTGTAATATACAGATTCTTTGGCTTCCTACCAGCCTTCGCTTAAGGCACCAATGAAGCTCATTGCCGCAGGGGGCCATGGAATCGAGAGGGACTCGCATCTACTGTATATTTTGTTTTGTGTGTTTTCCAATGGCTCTAATTATTGCAGGTGGTAGAATTTAACTGGCAGTGTTGTTGCTAAAGAAAATAGGCATAAAGTGTGTACTGTTTTGCAGAGTGGCTATCAAATATATAGAAAGGAGAAAATCAAATGAATTGTTAAACCGCTCTATAGTAAGTGATTTTATTGATTTAATGCAAATGCTTATGAAAACGATCTTCCATTTATATCAATTATGTATGGGCAAAAAATTAATTTATTCCTCCGGTCACCTGTTTGGCGCACTGACTCAGCAGGACCGGCGTCCCCCTCCCACAGACCCGCGCCCGCAGAACACCAAACATTCACAAAATGGGGATTTTAAAGTTTCTGTGTGCAAAACAACAAAAAGGGCCCGACGGGAGTTCCTGCCAACTGCTGAAAAACAGTGAGTGGGCTGAGGAGGGTGCACCAGGCTGGTCCCAGGCAAGCCTGGAAAATACAGCGGCTCCGATTTTGCCAATCCTTTCACCATGTGGCGGCACATTTATATGTACCGGATCATCTGCGGCATCTGAATAAAATCAGGGAGACAAAATTCTGCATATAAACATTTTGGCTAAGTGCCTTCACTCAGGCTTCTTATCTGGGGTTTCCACAGGATGCCACCTTGCATAACAATGCGGAGCGCCTCGTGCCCAGGATGCGGGCTCGGTAGCCTTAACCATGGTCGCTGTTGCTAGATCCATTGGTTTTAATGCCACCTCGGCCTGCTTTGCTTTGCCCCGTCCCTACCCAGGAAGGTTATTGCTGAAAGCTTTTGTTGTCTTTTTTAGAAATTAATATTTAATTTCAGCAGAAGGGACAGGTCTCAGGAAAACAGGAGTTACCAAAATGTCTCCCAGTAAGCCGAGTTACGAAAGAAAGTTAAAATTCAACATCCAAACAAATGTCCTGTGGACAGTGAAGCCTCTCTCTTGTCCCCAGTGTTGGGTTGGGAAGCAGCCCCCAGTGCACACAAAAGTACTTTGTTTCCTCAACGCGGGCGGTTGGGTTAGGGTTAGGGCTAGGGCCCCGTGTGTGCCCTGTAAAATGAAATGCACTGAATGTTGACTTTGAATGCCACATAAATATATTCCATTTCTAATACTTTACCTTTGTCTCTACCTTTGTGGCACGAGAGGCTGGAAGCTTCCTGGCACAATACAGTGTCCAGAGCGCCGCGGCAGCGTGCCCATCGCCTCCCCCTGCCACCCTCTTGAGCTTTGATAACCATAACCTCAAAGGTGAATATTTGAAACAAAATTGCGGAAGTAAGAATAAATTATTTTGTTGAGATCCGTTGTAGAAATTATTGGAAATGATGAATATAAAAGAGAAGAACCAGACTCTGGGCATGTTGGGGAACATAGCAGTTTTTAGTGAATTTCACTGATTTTAAATTGAAACACCGGAATTGAAACTTAAATTGCTTGATATTCTGAATGTTTATATTCTGAAATTTATCAAAATTTGCTTTGTGAGCTTTTTTTTTTTTTTTTTAACATGTAGATCTTAATTAATACATGATTGTCCTCTAAGCTTCTGAATGATACCTAATGCGTACAGTCAGCAGGTAAAAAAAAAAAAATTGAATATTTAAAATAGGCGTTTTCTTTATAGTGCTCTGCAGTAATTAAAATCTTCATTTGCTTAAAAGCAAGGAACCTTTTTAAAGCAATAAATTAGCATCGCTTGACCCAAGGTCACTAGTAGTACTGCTTCTTCCAGCACTATTAATACCTCAAAGAAAAAGAAGGGGTGGTGTTATCACTCTGTTGCAATAGAAGTAAGATTTTCAATTTAATCACAGTGAAGTGTCATGACCTTTTGATCTTGCATTGACTTCTCACTGAAACGCGGTCAGATTTCAGACAGCTAATTCGAAGCTCTGCGGAGTCAAGGTGAAGGCAGAAAATGGGTTTGCCACGAGTGGAGGCGGTTTTGAGGCAGTAGCGAGTGGTTTCGGGTCCTGAGTTTTGGTTCACTGCAAAAAGTTTTTTGGACGGGCTCAAGAAACTACAAAACAATTTCTGGAGGAAAAAGAAAACCTGTATCAGCTAATTGCAAAACCAGTAATTTGAATTTGGTTGGTTGTTGTTTTTTAATATTTTTTCCCCACAGGTAAAGGGTCTATTTTTTCCAACTCTGAGCGTTAGAAATAATTCAGAAGGAAAACATTTTTTGACTGAAGCTTCTACTCAGAATAATTCTCAAAGCAAAGAGGAGTCCTCGTAACACAGAGTTCACAACGTGCAAAAACAGCAAGCCAGTCGTATTTACACATATGCTCTTGTAGGACATTTTATTATTTTAGGCAAATCTGCTGTGGCTGTTGGAGGCCGTCGGCCGGGAGCTGTTGCTCCATTCCCTGCTCAGGTCCCGCAGCGGTTCGCCCAGCGCCCGACCTCCGCTAGAGCAGCGCCGGTGCTCTGGGAGCAGTGGAACCACTGTGAAAGCATTTAACGAAACTCGGCCCTTCTGTCAGTTTTGCAGATTTTGTTTCAGAAACGGGTAGACAACAATCTCCACCACTCTGTAGTGTTGCTTGGTTACCTTTATATGCGAGCTCCAAAATCTGTTTTGAGACTTTACTATGTGTTGGATTAAGGCTCTGGTTTGTATACAACATAGAGGCTGCTTTATAAAACACATGTAGGAGAGTAGTTTAAATCTGCCTTTTCTAAAAAGAAGGATTCTCGCAGCTTAATTTATGCACACACACACCGAGCACTCTGCAGAGTGCCATAAACAAGATTCCCTTTTTTTTTTCACCTAGGCACGGGACTATTGCATTATCATGTCCTGGTGCAACATTCCTGTCCTCAGTTTGTACTCTCAGCCTTTTGAGGAAGTCTGGCGCCTCTGATCTATTTTCCACAGCAGACCCTGTAATTTTTGGCTGTATTTTATGTTTTTCAGATTCAAGTCAATCTGAAAGTCCCAGCCAGCCAAGTGAAGCTGATATTAAGGACCAGCCAGAAAATGGTAAGTTCTTACCTGCTGCTCCTGCTTTGGGATATTAAAACAGCCCATATTTATAAAGATTTTTTCCTATGTCTAATATAAAAGCACTATTCAGAATAACTGACATGGGATAGCTGCAGATAGATTGTGTACCCTCCTCATAGCTCAGATGCTACTGTTTCACTAATCTAAAGTAGCATTTGTTTCTCCAGACCTGGAGAGAGAGGCTGGTTTTTTATTTTTTTTTTATTTTTTTCCTTTAGAAATCATTTAAATTAGGGAGATGCCATTAAAGAGCCTGCTGTATGCAACCCTCGCCCTTATTCCTCCATAGCAAAGGCTTCCAGTCCCTGGGCCATGAGTCACGAACTCCCCCTCCTCCCCCCCAGGGGTGTGTGCTTCATTGCTTTCATTTTTATTTGTGTGCTCTTAGCTTGGTTCCGTTTGTTGACGCTCTCACACAAAGTACCTAACTTTCTGTATGTGGCCGGCCATCGCTGCAGAGCGTGGGATCTCAGGCAGTCCCACAGAACAAAATGGTTGCTTTGAAATACGTTTCTGCAGACCCATTCTCTGCAGCAAAATCCCGCTGAACAAAACTGAGCAGCAGCCCCCCCTAACAGTGCAGTTTCAGGGCACACCTGCAAACATCCCAGGCAGGTTCCTATTGCAGGAATGGCTTGGGTGCCAGCAGCATCGTCCGTGCTGCGTCAGCGTGCTTTAAGGGCTGTGGATACTGTGGGTGAGCAGCACAGGGAGGCTCCACTGTGGCTCGTTGCGCCGCTCTCTCGGTCCATTTGCAAAAGTGGGATTTCAGGTGGCAGCCGCTGGGGCTTATTTGGAAGTAGTGCCAGGAGCGTGAATTTTGGGAATCTGTCTGAACTGGGACAGATTTAAATTAGAAGCAATAGCTTGTGCTGAACCAATGGCATCTGTTGTAAAACAGGCTGAAAAAAATAATTTGATAATAGCAAATTCGTGTATGTGAAAGTACCGACTTCTTGTGCTTTTTGTGTTTAAGTGAGGTGGACCTCACTCGAGCAGGTTCCATTGGCCCATGGGCAATGGATATTTTCTCTAACACTTACATCTAGGACGTAGAAATGATGCCTCCCAAAGTGAGACTGAGATAAGCATCTATTATTAATAACTTTTCTTGACTTTGTAACCAGGCTTATAACAAGATCTGAATGTAGAAAGGAAACCCATTGTACTGTAGCTCATACGCAGAACTGAAGAACTTGTGTGGATGGTTTGAGACTCTGAAACCTGCCACCATTCTGGGGACATTCAAATCCACTGTTGTGGAAATCTGTAATAACACAAATATGATTGCCCTTTCGGAGGGCAGCCGATTGCTTTCGCCTGCAGCCCTTGCAGGGCATCCCTAGAGCTGCATGTGTGGTGAGTGTGCTTTTTGAGGACTGTATCGGGCACTGGCCGAGCTGCACGATGAGGTGAGGCTGAAAGGCTGTGTTAGATCAGGACTGCATTTGGACCAGAGTTTCAATGGCAGATAAAGTTGAGGAAGAGGATCAGGTCCATGAAAACTTAGGAGTGCATGTCATAGGATGTGGAGCACAGGGCCCATTGAGCTGTTATGATATTGGCTTTGGGGGTTCCCATGTTTTCCTCGCATTGAAATACAAAAGGTTTCGTGTTTTGATGGGTTTCATACTGCTCTTCTCTAAGTATACCATCTTAAAACATTTCTGTTGTTGCTGAAAGACAGTGCCTAATTTCTCTTATCAATCCTGTTCACAGAAATTCTAATTTGTAGCCAAAGGATTGTGAGGTTAAGCGAAGAACTGACTAAACTGTGATTTTTGTTCTGCCAATTCTGGGATTTTTTTTGTGTGGAGTATGTTGCCTATGTTTATTAAATCATATTTTAATTTAGAATGCATTAGGCACCAACCATGTTATTATTTCATGTTTAGATAATTTTCTTTCACAGCTATTAAACCACAGTTCTTCTTACCCTGCAGTTTCTCGTCTTAAGGAAGCTCGTTACTCAACAGCCAGCCCAAAAAGCAGCGATGTCAGTGTTTAATAATGTAAAATCTGTAAAAGCCTAGTGAAATGAAATATCTCTGTTTTGGAGCCTGAGCCTTCCTTGTAAAACAAGCTTTTAGTGAATTCTTGGAACTTCGTTGGTGACCTGTGAGAGGGACTTTTCTTAATAAACACGAGAGAGATTTTTCTTTTTCTCATTTTTACTGAAGGGTATTTTTTTTTCCCCACTGCAGCAGAATCTTCCTGACTGCTGAGGCACCTTTTGCAGTGCCCGTGTGGGAGGTTTTCTTTACCAATGCAGCCAAGGCAGCCCGCTGGCCCTGGAGGGGCTGCTCCCCCTGTGCGGCCGCCGTGCTCACGCTCAGCACACGCAGCCCCCAGCCTGCAGCGCCCGGCTTGTAGATCAACACGGATCTGCAGCTCTTATCTACCGAACGTGAGGATGAAAGCAAAACTGCGGGCTTTAGAAAATGAAAAACTGCACGCACAGGAACGGACACAATAAATCATATTAACTGCGTTGTTCTGCACTTGCTGCAGACCCACTTCCACGAGGCCTGATCCAACTCCCTCCGGAGTCTCTGGGAGCCTCGTAATTGATTTTACTGAGAGTGGGAATGAGCCCACACAGGGAGGAGGAGTTGTTGTTTTTGGGTTTTGGTTGGTTTTTGTTGTTTTTTTTTTTTTTACAATCAAAGAAAAATGCTGTTGTGAATAATCTTATTCCCACTGATGCTAACAGCAGAATGACCAGATTGAGGGCAGGTTTGGAGTCATTTTGCACGTGTTTCTGTAAGGCACAAAGAAGCATATCGATTAAGCACTGCCTTTTACATGCATGCATTCCTTCATTTTAAAAAAATAAATCTTTAAAGGCCTTGTGAGGGTTATACAGCCTCTCTACTTGCCTGTTAATATCCTTTCTGTTCCACTCCATAAATTCTAGAGCTATTTATTATACACATATATTTTGCATACCTTGAGTAATGTAGGTTCAAAAGGGTCAGCTATACAGCCCTGAAAAAGAAGGCCTCCTACTACAGATTTTAATTTATCATTTTAATTTGTCTGTGTTATTTAGAAAAACCTGTATATCTAACCTTCATTCAAGTGAAGTTCATGAGGAGAAAAAAAAAAAAGGCTTTTATTTCTTGGAGCCACCCCTCTTTTCTAGTGGGTTTTACAGTTGCATTTTATGGAGCAGAGTCATCACAGAGAGAGTCACAGAATCATAGAATCATAGAATGGCTTGGGTTGAAAAGGACCACAATGGTCATCTGGTTCCAACCCCCTGCTATGTGCAGGTTGCCAACCACCAGACCAGGCAGCCCAGAGCCACATCCAGCCTGGCCTTGAATGCCTCCAGGAATGGGTTGGAGAGAGAAGATGGTGGCAATTTCTGCTCTCAGTGGTGGCTTTAACTCCATCTCTAACCTGTTCTTTGGCCTTTGTGAAGCCAGAATAATTTTCAGGAGGCCGCTTGCAGTGATTGCTACTGCAAGAAGTTGTAGAAATGTTAAGAATTTCATTTTTTTGAAGGAGTAGCCAGTACGATGGTCATGCAAAGCAAGCACGCAGGCAGGACAGGGCTTAGTCATGGGTGCATGGCTCCATGCCTTGTCTTGGAACTGGGCAGAAAGCTGATCCCTTTGGCCCCTTAACATGGGAAAGAGCTCAGGGAGAGGAAGAAAACCTGAATTTGCCCGTTTGTCATGTGGGCGAGGAAGTTTGCAGGAGGGATGTGGAAAGAAGCAGGGTGCTTCATTTGAAAGGCAGGAGCGGGGTCAGGTGCCCTGATACTTTGCTCAAATGATTTTATTTTTTTTTCTGACCAGCTGGGTGGAACACCCGCGTGGAAAATTCCCCACTTTTGTAGTTGCCTAATGGTATGTAAAAGCTTCATTTCAGTTGGCACCGCAAAGTGATTTTGCAATTCTCCCAATCAAAAAAAAAAAAAAAAAAAAATTAAAAAGAAAAATCGATTTTAAGAGCTCATTAAATGCACTGGTTTGGGGTCATCTTTTAGGAACAAACTGTTTTTCAGTGAATCGAGGATGACAAAATGGGCAGTGTGCTGTAGTGAAGGGACTGCCTGCCTGGGGATCAGCAGCAACTGAATCTCAGGCTCAGCACTGGGCTCAGCCATGGGCTCTCTCTTAGGCTTTTATTCTTCCTTTCAGTCGTGGTGGCAACGGCTATCGGATAGGTTTTCTTTTTTGTAAGCAGGATTACTTCTGTGAAGAACTTCTCAGTCTCTCTGTCTGCAACAGGGGATGTTTGTGACCGTGGTACGACAAATCAGATCCTGCTCTGCTTCGATAGGGGTTTGGAGCTGGGGAAGGGCACAGCCTGCACAGGGCCGTGTCACTGCTGTACCTGGTGGCAGTGCGGAGTGGTGGCACTGCAGAATTAATGCTGCGTGCAGCAGAGGAACGCTGCGTCATCCGCTGCAGACAAGTGATGTTTCTGGAGCATGTGTTACTGCGATTCGGTAACTCAGAGTCGGGAGCACACCACTTTAATTGTAGATTAGCAAGTTCTTTTTAAAGAAGTTGGTAAATTCTCCCGTTTCAAGTGAGAGAGACAGCATAGCATTCATTATTACAGCTGATTACGACCGTGTGCCAAATTCACGGCTCAAACAATTTCTGTAGAGGGAGAGGCATTTATCTGAAAAATAAAAATGTTTAATGCTCAGACCAAATGCTTTTTAGTTTTAATGTATTCTTGCTGCTTTGAGCTACAAGTACCTTAACGGCACTGCAGGAAATGAAAGGCACATTGTTCTTTGTAACATTAAAAAAAAAAAAAAAGAAAGAAAAACAAGAAAAACAATGATGTACCGTAACTCACAGAACTCGTTTTTCAACCCTGCAGTAATTACACCGGACTTGTAAATATCATCTGTGAATTCTTCACGTAAGTAGGGCTGGACTCAGGTATAAAACCTCACAAAAAGGGTTTAGGTACATGCTTACTTTCCCGTGCCTAAAAGAATTAAGGAA